GGTGGAGCCCTCCTCGGCAACAGGCCACGCCCACAGGAAGTCAAAATTGAGCTTCTGAGCTCTTGTGAACTGACCTAAATTCTCCTCTATACGTGGAAGACATTTGAATAATTCTTTTCTCTTTACAGATCTACAAAACCACAACAAACCAGTTCTGTTTTAATAATTACGTTTATATATGGGAAGTGTTATGCACAATTTTTAATAACGTAATCATGTTGCACAATAAAAACAGTTCTTTACTCTAGTACTTCACATTACCTTTCTAAAAAAAGAACTTTCTCACCATTAAATTGTATGCTGACCTTTAAATCTAGCCTTCTGTTCATGATACATCTACTGTTTTGTTTTCAAAATACTCTTTTTCAAGCAAGTTTTAATATTTCTAATGTCTGGAATATTGAGGAAATTGTAATGCAATGAAAGTACAGCATTTCTTTTTGTAATAAATAGGTTAAAAGACAGCTAATTTATATGCAGATTTTAAATCTCCTGATCTGTAAAAGACTGGATAAATGATGAGGGAGGGTGGAGGCTGCAGGTTGCAGAGATGAAAAGCCAATACATTGTATCCAGTCCATTAAAACAAGAAGAAATAGAAAAGATACCTTGATAAGTGTTCTGCCTGTGTTAACCTTGATGGCTATTATCGGGGGAAGGGAATGGGCCTGCTGCTATATCTATTTCATTGGCTTGGGCTTTTTCATGCTGAAAGAAATCAATACTTTGAGTCGTTAGATGACAGAAGCATCACTTCAGAATTGAAGGTGGCTGTCAGACATTGTCATTGGTTGACTTTTGTTTGCTATTGAGGTTTTAAGCTTTCATTTTTCTAAGTCTTATTCAGGAGCTTTGGAAGATTTCCCTCTGTGGCATTTTTAACACAGACTGTAAACCGAAGGTTAAAAGTCAAGTGCAAAAAAAAGTCTTAAAGAACAACCCAAGAGCTTTTCCTGTTGTCAAAATATACGATGTTGACAAGAATTTGCATTCTCGGGTGCTTATGTGTTTGACTGGATTTTCTCTATGTCTTCTTACATATTCTGGGCAAAATGTATGTTACAAAATTGGAATCAGTATGCTGTAAATTCATGTATTTGGAAAAGGCTAATAGAATATAAAAATATACGTGGAAGATAGGCTTTCAACTTTATTAAGTCTCTTTTCTGTAGGGTAGAAGACTCATTGATCTGCCCAGAAATAAAGGGACAAAATTTTATTTTTTACCACATGCAACTTGTTTGTCACATGGATTGCTTCATTGCTTAACACAGTTTTACTGGTAATTCTGCTTTTAATTTAAAAGGACATTTAAGCCAATTATACTGAGTAGATTTCTATAAGCTTCTATAATGTATACAGATTTGTTTTAACAACCACATTACCGGTATACACTTAACAGCTGCAGTTATTTGCCTAACAACTGTGGCAAAAGTTGTAAAATGAGGCATGCATCACTTAACAAGTGCCTCAGTTAACAACAAATTTTGTGCTCAATTGTGGTTGTAAGTTGAGGAATCCTTGTATTTGTGTTCTATGATTAAGAGACGTTCATAGAAAATGTTTTTCTTCGTGTATAATAATACAGCAAAAGGGAAACATATTTACTGCAAGTATAAAATTATTTCTTCATTTGTATTACTTTGTAACACAACATAAATTAAACCAACAATCTCAGTTGTACCTATGTGACATGAAGCCTTTCTTGCTAATAGAAAAGGTACAATACTAGTTTGGTACATTTTTGCCAGTGTGCCATAAGTACACCAAAAAATCCAATCTTAACCCAGCTAGGGTCTTTAATCTAAAGAATATCTTGCAAGTGAATGTATTATTGCACATATACTATCAATTAATAGGTAAGTGTATCATTCTGACGCACTCATTATTTTTTTCCTATTAAAACCATCCATTATACAACATTACATGAAGGAAGTACAATGAGAACAAACAAATGTATTTTGGCAGAAATATATGTTCTTATAAGAACCCCAGGTGATTTTTAAACGAGGTTTTTTTTATCCAGACAACAGAAATTCTTTAAAGCAGTAGATGACACTATATGATAGCACAGATGATCAAAACAAAAAAACCCCTACATGATGAAAAAAATAGTTTAGTTTTTAATAAGCATGATTTGCATAATCTGGCTATTGCACATTATTTTAGTTATTTTTAAATTTTATTTTTGGTGCTAGGTAGGTCACAGATATACTTTATTTTATTATAAAATATTATTTTAAACATTTTATTGAGCAAAAACCCTAAGAGTGGTAGAGGTCCATCTGTTGTTAATGATCTCAAAGATTGTGTAAGATTGTGACTTGAAATGTAAAAGCAATATATGGTAAAAATCATGAATTAGTGGAAAGAAATGAAAGAAGGAAATTGATAAGCTGTGGTTTAGTGAGAAAGAGAAAGGGAAAAAACATCAGAAATATGAATGGAGGTAATCTGTTTGTGCAGAGCATCCTTGATGATGCCTGGGCAGGTGGGTGGAGCCTCCCGCTGCCGCCACCACCAGTTCGCCGAAACTGGCAGAATGTCTCCTCTACTATAAGGCCTTATACAAGTTGAGTTTGGTAATCTTTGGGTCTATCCAGTCCAAATAGAATCTGCCTGACCAAGATTTGACCTTTGAGAGATATTGCATGCTGAAATCTCCATGGAATATAGTGGGAAGGAATATGGAGGTAAATAGTCTCTATTGAACTTAACTTTTAAAATCTCATGGGGCTAGTGCTCTTATGAGTTGGAATAGCAGCAAATATGGTAAAAGTCTTTCAATATCCAGAAGGACGCCGTGAAGATGATTTTTGGAAATGAAGATGAAGGCTAGCTGCTGAAATAACTAAGTCAGATTCAGACAATTCCTAATGGTTGCTAGAGATGAAATATTGATTTTAATTCAGATAATGAGGACGGGGTAGTGGTCCTAGAATTGATGGGACAAAATTTGTACTGCTGAAGGTTAATTAACTAATGAGTACTCACAATTCCATGAAACATTTGAGGTTGTGATCAAGTGATGATTCCGCTAGAACCATGATGGTGAACTTATTGCACGGGTGGGTCAGAGGTGGCAGAGCCCTCTCTGTGGGCATGCACACTGGCCAGTTGGTCTTTGCAGGGACTAAAGCACCGGAAAACAGCCTGAAAATGCCCCCAAATTAGGCCATTTTTCAGGCTGCACTCAGGTCATTTTGAGGGCCATTTTCAGGCTGTTTTTTGCTTGAAAAGCAGCCTGGAAACAGCCCAAAAATGCTCAAAAAGCAGGCATGCATGCAACAATCAGTTGGTCTTTTGGTTTCCGGTGTTCTGGTGCATGGATATGCACACACATGCATGCATGTTCTGGTTTGGGCACTTGGTGCTGAAAAGGTTTGCCATCACTGCCCTAGAAGAAAAGCACCATTGATATCACTGACCAACATAGTTGGCACAGAGGAGATATATCGAAAGATAGAAGAAAGAAGATTTATCCGTCTACCAATAGCTAGATCAAGGCCAACTGTCAGTTTACCTGAGTGACAGAGGAAGGAAATTGGCCCATAATTCTGCAATTCCTTTTTTAGCTTTCAATAGGAATAGTTCTAGTATTTAGCGACACAAAGTGGTACATGCTAAGAACACAAATATGCTAATATACTCATGCTTTGAGCTGAAAGTTATATAAAGATAGTCCTCACTTATGACCACAATTAAGCCCAAAATTTATGTTCCTAAGTGAGATATTAGATTATTGCCCCATTTTGTGACTTTTCTTGATGTAGTTGTTTAGTGAATCATTTCATTTGTTAAGCTAATAACCCAGTTGTTAAGTGAATCTGGCTTTCCCATTGACTTGCTTGTCAAAAGGTTGCAAAAGATGATTGCATGACCCCAGAACACAGCAACTGTCATAAATATGAACCATCAAGCATCCAAATTTTGATCATGTGACCCTGGGGATGCTGCAGTGATTTTGTGAAAAATGGTCATGTCACTTTTTCCAGTGCCACTGTAACCTTGAACGGTCACTAAATGAACTGTTGTAAGTTAAGAATTAACTGCACTTTTTCTCTATCTTAAATAAAATAAGGAGAAAATTGGAATATTATGTGGTGTTGCATTTTTCAATTAAGTCCTTAAATATATGCCATTACAATCCACTTGACCTCTACTGATAAGCATGTAAAGAATGTAGTAGATCATGCATTCTGTGCACTTTTGTGTGCTTATGTACTGACTATAGAGACAAAAAATCTGTCTTTTAAAATCACTGCATTGAAGTCAATCAAAACAGAATATTTACTATGCTGAGTGGTGGTATTCATTTTTTTTCCCCTACCGGTTCTGTGGGCATGGCTTGGTGGGGGGTCATGTGACTGAGTGGGCATAGCCAACTCAATATCACTCATGCCCACTCAGTCACATGACACACCCACCACCACCACCAAGCCATGCCCACAGAACCCGGTAGGAAACAAATAGAATTTCTACCCATCTACCTATTTTCTGCCCAGGCCTGGCCTAATCTGTCAAAAGGCTTCCTGTTGCCTGCTCTCCCTTCACCAGTCCCATTTCTGCTCCTTCATAAGCCCCAGTCCTAGCCCTGCTTCCCCCCCCCCCCCAACCACCTCTTTCTTTGGGCTTACCTTCCTTCCACGGTGGCTGGTCTGGACTCCAGAAAGCAAGCTCTCTTTTTCGGTATGACTGCAAGAAACCTCCCAGCTGCCTCTTTGCCAGCTGCTTCACAGCACCAGTAGCTGCCTGGGGGCCATCGAAAACCACCAGAGGTCTTGAACATAACAAAAAAAACACTGCCGTTGGCACCCTGTTCTTCGCGCTGACCGCGAATGTGCATCCCATTGCCTGCTGTGCCCGTCCACTCATACTTGCCCAGGCAAGTCCCTCCCCTGCAGCAGGTAATGGGATGCACATGCGTGGCTTGCACGAAGAACGGGAACAACGACAGTGGCTTTTTCGGTGCATTTGCGATCTCCTGTGGTTTTTGGCAGCCTCAAGCCAGTCATTGCTTCTTGCAGTCACACCAAAAAAGAGAGTTTGCCTTCCAGAGTCTCGAACAGCTGCCGCAAGAGGTGGCCATGCGGGAGGAAGTAGGGCTAGGGCCAGGGCGTCTGAAGGAGTGGAAATGGGACTGGTGAAGGGAGACCAAGCAGCATGCAGGAGAAGGCCCCAAAAAGGCCAGAGCCGGGGAATGGTGCATTCCCCATCCCAGCCAAGGTGAGTGGGCAGAGGCTTCAGGTCCTCAGGGAATGGCGTATCCCTGGGCCCCAACCCCTGACTTAAGGTGAAGGGCAAGCAGGTGGCATGCTTACCTTTGTTGAGCTGAGCAGAGCGGGTGAGGTGCGGAATCAACTGGTGAGGCAATTAGCTGGGCCGCTTGGTGAAGGCAACATATATAGGGCTGGGGATGGGCGGGGCAAGTGTCAAGCAGGCGGATGGGGTGAGTGAGCGTCGAGCGGGTGGGCGGGGTGAGCAAGCGACAAGCAGCCAGGCAGACCTGGGCAGGGCCAGGCAGAGGTCATTCCTGGTTTGGAGAACTGGGTCAAATTTCCCCTACTGGTTCGCCGAACAGGTGCTAACCAGCTGAATACCACCTCTGACTATGCTAGTTTAAAAGATATTGATCTTAAATTTTGTTTAATTTTCTTTTTGCTGTTATTCAACATTCTATAGATATAAATGTGTTATTTTAATTATATAAATATGGTATCAAACTTTTCTTTATGTTATGCATTCTGATTCAAATTCAAATTATAGCTCTTACATAAAAAATTGTCTTGGCAGGAGGACCTTTGCACAATTACATATTATAACCTAGTTGTGACCTTTCCTAGATTAGAAAGCCCTATTCAGTCTTTTATGCTCAAATACCATCTAATACAGCATGCAGTTATGATTAAACCAAGGTTTGCACATGTAACGCTACATTAAGGGAGTTGCATTGCCTACCATTTTATTTCTGGGTACAGTTGATGCTGCTGTTGGCCAACTTTAAAGCCTTACATGACTTAGGGCCTTGATAACTCCATGAGTAGCTTCTGTCACATGACTCTTCAGATGGGTATTTCGTATGAGTAAAATGAAGCTTCCCCCAAATGGTAGTGCATCATATTGATTGATTAAAATTTAATTTTTCACCATTATATTAAGATTATTAACTTTTCAGTCTCTGGAATGGAGTAGCAGTTGTAGTAATCAGTTATAGAAATACTCAGGTGTCATATTGAGTAATTCCTAGTCATAAATAAGCTATAGTAAGTCATAAATGAGACATAGTAAGTTACTTGGCTATAAGAATAAGTAGTAAAGTTTGTCCCTCAGTAAAATTTTGTCTATTAATTTTATAGTTAAGTATCACAATGTTGGGCTAAATGAAAAAGTATGCTTCCTAAAGGATATATTTATTAACATTTTCTAGCTGAAGTGCAGAACTAAATGCTACCATTACTATATCTAATATTGAATGAAACTATTTTTACTGTTTTTATTTTGTTGCTGCCATTTTTCATTTTGGTGTCTAATGTGGGTATCTCCAGTCTTATTAAAACATGTAGGCATTTGGGATATAATAGTATGTTTAACCTGAATCGGTAGATAAACCATGTCTGATTTTTAATCTATAATAGCTCTGTATAATGGGTAAAATATAATATTTTCTTTATTTTATAATACCATATTCATATTCTAAGCAAGGAAGAAACCTTATCTGCAAAGTTTAAAGCACTGTATTTGCCATTATAACAAATAAGTTAGACAAACAGGTGGGATCCAATGACTGTTTTAATAAAACAGGTACTACTTACATGGAAAAAAAATGTTTCTCTTGTTATAATGCAAGCTTTGCATACCATAAGTCTTTGATTTACAGTCTCAGTTTTCCATTTTCACATCTGATCATAATTTTCCTTTCAATATATTTAAAGAACATTTTATTTAATAGAATAATTTATATTTAAGTAACTTGCAGGCTTTAATGAAAACAAATATATAATTTCTTATATAGCAAATATATGACTTAAATCTCACTTACTTATTAAATATGTACATGCATTTTGGTCCTTGAAAGATGTTCCCAATAGAATCCTCTGTTTATATTTTGTAGAGAATATTATTTGTCTACAGTATCTTGAAAAAAGGGTCCAATGGACCCAGTGAGACTTCTACCAAAAATGCATAGAACTGTTATGTAAACATTTTATAGTTTTAATTGGAGATACCCTTAAAGGGCAAATTGCATATTTCCCCCAGTGGACCATGTTTTATGAGGATGATAATGTTCTGCTCAGCTGTTGTTTGCAATTTCTGGTGTATTATTAAATTTTGTCATGTGTTCATTTTCTATTCGTTGCAGAAATTTTAAGCCAAAAGTATAATATAAGCAATTTCACTGTTGACAAAAAACAACAACCCTAAAAGTACAATGCAATTTTCTTTTCTTTTTTTTGTCCCATCACATTTTAGTCATTGTGTGCCCAGTATTCTGCAGAAAGACGTGAAGATGAGAAGATGTGTGATCATTTGATAAGGGCAGCCAAGTATCGTGATCATGTGACAGCAACTCAGCTGGTACAGAAAATCATCAATATACTGATGGACAAGCATGGAGCCTGGGGCAATTCTCTGCCAAG